GATATATGTATGTATACATATACACACATATATATATATATATATATATATATATAATGTGTGTGTGTATATATAACATACATATACATACACTGTAGATGATTAAATAACTACGATAAATGTTTTTGTTAAGTTGATCAACGTATCGGTTATAAATAACAACTTTGTTATATGGTGTCAGGTGCACAGAGATGTAAGATAATTGTAAAAGTATTGTACAGTTTGGCAACTACATAAATAAAATTGACTTTTTCGATAGTTATATCGAATCAGTGTGTATCACTTGTGTAAATGTTAAATGCTTTACAAAAATATTTTATCGAACGGAGCATTAATTTTATAATTAAAATATATTTAAAGAATGCGAAGTAAAAGAGTAAAGACTAATTTTCTTATGGAATTAATTCACTCTCAATTATAAAATATAATTTCAATGAAATATGCACGAAATTGCTAAAATAACTTTATTAAAAAATCCTTAAGTACATAATGTATATAATTCTCTCTTTGTACAAACTATTAAAAAAAATATATCACTGGAAGTTTATGAACAACTATAAATCAAGCCGTTTTGCTACAATGATTGGTAATAACGATTTCATTTTGTTAATTATAAACATTTCTGCTTTCCACAGAACTGTTGGCTGCTTGACAATATGCCAGTATCCATTTCTTCTACGTACTGCCCACTTCTGCGCGCTTGCTAAAGATTTTTTGTATGCTAAAAAGCATTTATCATTTAGTTTTATCCAAGGTTCATGTACTGTAGCTAAACCTAATTTGATTAATTCCTTGCCAACTTCTAACGAATCCTATTTGCAAAAGAAAGAAACATTTAAGTGATATAGTACAAGTATTTATTATAAATATTATAAATCTCTTACCTTATCTTTTTGTGGCATTATAATCTCGCACTCCAAATATTCTTTTTCTTTGATTATAGGCACAAATGTTATGTGCTTTCCATTAAGCACAATTTGCAACCAACTTACACCTATAAGATTGACATGGAATGTTGAAAATGGCAAATTTCTGTGATCAGTCTGATACTTACCATTACCTGTAACGTTAATGCCACAAATTTTCACAGGCAGATAGGCTTTATTGTTGAAATGAGGAAAAGGCAGCAAGGATTGATGATCGACCATCAGTAAAACATTAGAGCTCGGTTCCACATGTGTTACAGTACCTTGAAGTGGAACCCGTGATTGCAGAAAATGCGAGGGGATGTCGGAAGGCTTCGTAAATCTCGCAAACTAGGAAACGAGAGAAAATCAATGTGAAATCCGTGGAGACAATGGTAATGGATAATACCAGCGAATAGATCTGTGTTCTTCAAGTTTGTACTTACAGGTCTAATTCTGTACAGAGCTGCAAATAGGCTAGCGCTGGCGATCCCGTAGGTGATGAGCTAAAAAGAGAAGTGTTGAATATAAATACGAGTTCTCTTTTTTTCTTTAGTTGATAAGTGCTTCCAACTTTAAGTTATATCTGACTATATTACAAGCTATATAATTACGGACTATATTAAAAGCTTATATAATTTTTCCTGTCTTCATAATAAAATCAAGTGTGATTTTCTTCGTTTTTCCGACTTCTCTTTTCTCAAACAGTTCCACGTTCAAGTCGTTTAAATGTGAGACCTAAGCGACTAAGAGGTTAGGAACGTCTCGTACCTTACCCGGTCCCAAATCGTCCTCCATAAGGATTTGGAATCGTTTGAAGATCGAAGATGCATCCTTGGACGTCATGATTATTGCGATCTTGAGCTAAGGATGCCGTTCGCGTTATGTTTTTTGCGATCAGCCAGCTCGAAGTGCTCTTCGTGTATGCCGATCGTTCGATTATTTACAATCGTGTCCTACGATCCCCCTCTTCGTCAGATACCTGCTACTAGAAATACAACATCTACAACAATTAATAACTTTCTTGTTGTTATTTTCTCGCGAAGGATCGTCGAAGGTTTCTCGCAAGCAGATACGATTTAATATACGATCACACGGAGCGCGTTGAATTTCCCGGTCAAATTACACGTTCCCCGCACCTGAGTCTTGCCTCTCGCCTCGCCGTCTGCGCTGGAACGCGACACGAAATACACTCTGGCAGAAAAAGGAGAGCAACAGCCCATGGGTGTATCCAAGGGGTAGTTGGGAAAGTTCAAATCTCCTCTGAAATTAAAAAAAAAGTTAAAGTTACAGTGATAAAACCTAATATTTTTCTCATTCAAAATCAGAATAGAAGATAATCTAAGCTTAAAAAAAACAATTTATTGACGCAAAAAATTGCTGTTTGTGTTAACAGAATCGATAAAAACTCCCCTAAAAAAAAAATCCTGGATACGCCCATGGCAATAGCTGCGAGAAAGTGCAAATAGGAGATCTTTGGTGGAGCGAAATACCGTGCTTACGTAATCGCTCGCCAAACGTTAAATTCAATTTTATTCAACGTAATTTTATTTCTATACGAGCAAATACGAACGAAAGATTGACTCACGACGTAAATTATTTCTTTCTATATCGTTAAAACTAAGTTCATTAAATTAATTATTACTCATGTTTTCTTTTGCAAATAGGTCTCCTTGAAGAGGTGAGGAATTAGTCAAAATTAGAAATTAGGAATCGGACCTAATTATAATACATAAACTTCGGATGAATTAACATCGGTGTTTTCTGAAAAAAATACGCTCAGAGAAACCATTTTTAGGAATTTCACGCTAATATATCTCTGCAAAGTTCTATGGAATCAGGTGATTTTCTTTGCTGAAGATTTCTATGATTCCTGACGAGAGAAAAGAGATGCATCCAGATGACTCACGTGTTACCAGTTACAATAAAGCTGTGGGTACAAAGAGAAGACGTCTTTCTTTTTCGTCTCTTATTCAAAACTTGCACTGTGTAAAGAAATACATCTTTCATGTAATAATCTGTCCATTTAGAACGCCTCGATAAACGTTATCACCCCGGCGCGGCTCGTGAGAGGCAAGCTGGACGAAAAATGTATTGACGTTGTAAAAAAAGACGTGACTTCACGCGCGCGCGAGGAGTGCGAAGGAGCGGAGCGGAGTCGCGTCCGCGCTCCAAATCAGTGCCGTCGCTCGGCGAGGACGAGCGTGCGTCACGCCGCGCCGCGCCGCGCCGAGCGAGTTCGCGCGTGCGACGTCAGCGGGAGACGTCAATCCGTCGTGAATCAACCACGCGAGCGGTGAGGGCGAAAGCACCGGCGAATCTCCGAGCGCGTGCCGAGCGCGAACATGTTCCGGGACGGCCAGTACCTGGAGGTTATCAAGGTACACCACGTGCAACAGCTGTCAACAGCTGGTTGTCAACGACGCGCGCGCGCGCGCGCGTAAGCACGCGATCAGGTGGGCGCCACGC